TTACTAAAATAAGCAGCCAATCAGAAAGATGCGTCTTTTCTAAGATTAACGGCATGTCAAGAACCCTGATCGTGGAACCCTGATCGTGGTTCTAAAATTGGTAACAGTAGTAGATTCTATAGGCTTCAACAGCCGCTCGGGCAAAATTCAAAATTCCTACCAAAACTGAAACTAGCCAGCATAAAAACATAATTAATACACAGTTAAGGTCTAGGCCAAACTTCGAAATCCGAAGGGGTCTGCGCAAAGTAGGAAAAACAGTCTGATGTAGGCCTAGACGCCCTAGATCTAGATCTACATTACATAAAAATCACTTGCACTGCGGGTTGAAAAACCAGCGACTTCTGGGGTCTTGCAGGGGAACGCAAAGAAAAAGAAGTAGCCTATCTCATGACAAGTTAGATCTATATTGAGTGACATAATATGCTCTTGTATCAGTTTTTGCCTCATATTTGAGAGCTTGGGTATTTCCATAGAGTTATCCCCTTTTATTATTAAACGTATAGTGTACATCTAGATCTAGATCTATGGGTATTTCAAACAATTTCATCCTTTCTGAAGCCACACCATGATTGAACCCATAACAAAGCGTTGTGCGCAGCAGTAATGACGGTCTCTGGTGCGCAATTCAAAAATTGGGAAATCCCGTGCTACTATTTAAAACCAAACATCCATGGCAACCAATGGAACTTTCCGATAAGGGGAGAACCCCAAAGATATTTATAGGGTCAATGGCGTCTTTCGATCTCAGAAGGTGGATGGGACTCGTATCCTAATTTTAAATTCAGTTCTGGAAGTGTGGCGGTAAGATGTTTGTCTTAAAATCCACGTTTTTATGTGCTTCGTTCTGTTTATAATATTATCTGTCACAAAGTCTATCCGATCGGGCATATTATTATAATCTATAGTTGCCTGGCTATAGTATACTAGAAATCTAGATCTATTCTATAGTCTAGATCTAGAACCTAGATCTAGATCTAGATCTAGATCTAGATCTAGTATACTATTATAATAGCTAAGCAAAAATTTATTGGCTGCCCTTGTTCCTAGATTTAGTTACATTGACAAGGAGAGGGTCAAAGGAACAGCGGGATAGGGGATATATCTATTAAAAATTATAATATTATAGTATTGACTATTGATAGTAAGTGTGTAGATCTAGTCTAAGACGAAGAATGAGATTAAAAGCGCTCAAATTTTTCTAAACTGACTGAACTCGATCTCCAGACTTAAACTGTTAAACAAATGGACGGTCCCATCATGATCAGATAGGCCTACTTGAATCTAGATCAAGCTGTAAATGAAAGGAGACCTCAGCAACTGTAACAACTACAGAGTAGAGGCATATAATTATGGCCGGCACTATTTCTCCGAACGTTCGGGAAAATAAAACTGGGCACTATTTCTCCTAACACTCTGAAATCACACCCTTTCCCGCATATTTCGGATAATAAAAATAAAATATAGATCTATAATTATATTATAGGCCTACCAAAGATTGTTCGTATACAATATGGTTCAATCGGTCCAAAAAATGTCCGTATTTATATAAAGAAATGCTACAGTTCCAAACAGTTTTTCGCTACAGATATGACGTGTGGCCTATGAAGGGTGCTGCTCTTAAACTTAATGTGTTGCGTTCACTCGTGAGCTGTCTAGATCTAGATCTATGGAGGGTTATTGATAACGACACATAGAGCTAGCATCTGCGTTTGTCGAGGCCGCGACCAATCAATCGTGGCTCGATTTTTTGGTCCCCGAAAAAGTTTTAAAAAAAGAAAAGAAAATGAAACTCTTTACTTTTGAAAGAAAGTTCACTTAGCTTCACTTCGTCTCTTTCTCACTTGTTGTCACCACGTTGATTTGTTGAATACGTTACAGTTACATACGATTTGTATTGCTGTTCCTCTTTTATTTTTCGTTTATTTTTCCCTCTTTGTGGTGTTATATTTTGTTGGTGTGTATTTTTTTTTTCTTGTTATTGTTCTGATGTGTTGTTTTTCTATTAATTTTTTTTTTGTTGGGGAAAAGGGGGGGGGGGGGGGGGGTTGTATAGTGTAACGTCATTTAATTTGATGTTCCTACAAAAGGTATTGTGTAACGTCATTTAATTTGATGTTCCTACCTTCATTAGATTCTAAATATATGTACCTGTATAGATTTAAATGTGCTATGTTAGAGCGTTCCACCAAAACCAATTACATGTACTGACACTGGCAGGCCCCCTGTGTGTGATTCCATAATTTCCATGCAATATCCTGTACTTTTTTTTAACAAATTACGCACATTTAGGGTTAAAACGGTCAATCTTCTTCGGACAGGTGGACACACGCCCTTATTTGTTAATTGTTGTGGTTGTTTCTGGGCTGTCTAGTTTTGATTTCATTCTGTTGTGAAACCTTTCTTTTTCACGTTTTTACACTCATCTAAAAATCTCTAGACTAGATCTAGCTCTTGAAAATTGAAATAGATCTAAACCCAAAAATTTGCTCCGTTTTTTTTTTTAATGGACGATAACCGTCCACTCAATAGAAAAGAGGGTCAGATTTCTCCGTCTCTCGGGTGCCTCAGGCAGTACCCGCCTCGCTAAACCAGTGGGCACACGGCCGGAGGAGAAGCTGAGAACAGATACCACCTTTGATTTGCTCCTTCCCAGACCTCGCAGAATGACGGAATGAAAGTTGGCGCCGAACTCTCGCAAATAGGCAAACAATCACGACCAGAGCGGAAGCCGGAAACCGTTCGGAGAAATAAAGATCGGCACTATTTCTCCGAACGTTCGGAGAAATAGTCACTTCGTATAATTATAGTAGAAATAGTTGAAATAGGACTAAGAAAGTGGCGATGGATGGGACACGCCTTAATTAAGAAAGCCCAACGGAAACATCACTAAAGACAGTCACTGCAGTGGAACCCACAGGGAGCACGAGGCAGGGGTAGGCCACATGAACGTGGAGGAGATGCGTGTGGAAAGGGACATATGAGATGAAGCTCACTTGGAACGAGCTTGAAAGGATGGCCAAGGACAGAGATGAATGGAAGGAGCTTGTTTGTGGCCTATGGGTACCCTGCCGGGGGTGAAAGGCATTGATGATGATTCATTCATCTCAGTCTCACCCCAATCACCCTCAAAACCACTCATTCAAATTATGAAATCCATTTTACACCCTTCTGTCAAATAAAATGAAACAGATTCCGACCGTTCGAAAAAAATAGAACCGGCCTTAATAAAATTGTAACCTTACCTTGGTGCAAGCAACACAATCCATGAATATCACATCACCAAATTTGGTATAAATAATCCATTTAGTCGAATTCACAGGCCACAAAAATCATTAATATACACAATAAATTAAATAATAAAAATAAACAATAGGCCTAAACAATAAAAACTGGGTAGGCTAAGCTTGAAAATATATTTTAAAAACATATTGTGCACGTAGCCGAGATGCGCGAACTGTGTCTACAAAGCTCGGCCAGCCCCAGCCGAACAACCCGGACACTTAACATTTTTAGTCCAGTTGACTCGACCCCCCACCACATCACTCCTCATGCTAGAAGGACTTCCCGTCGTTCCCGGAATAGACAAAAAAAAAACTCCTCTGCCTTCCGTCCCAGGTCATATGACGTTGTAATATAGCATCTGCGCATGTCTATGACCTTATGAGTATGCATATTTCGAGTTATAGAGACGAAGAAAAAATGGTGGACCTACTTTCGATTTACCTGGCTCTGTCGCAAAAATGAACAAACATTCAGTGAAAATGGGTGAAAGGGAAACAAAATGTGCGAGATTGTAAGCATTGCTTAACAAAGATTACATTGGTTTATGAATTAACAAAATATCCAATCAAGATTGGCTTTAAAACGAGTTGGAACAACACTGTTTAGGCGGGCGGCCGACTTGTCCAGACGGCCGAGATGCCCGGACGGTACTGTAGATCTAAAACGCACTTTTCTTGTTCATTTTTATCTGCTTTACACGCAAATTTTGACTTTCTCTCCACCGCAAATTATTAGAGTTTATGAATGGATATTTTTATACCATACCCCTTCCCCAGACCCCAACCTTCTATTTAGATTACTGTTTTCATAGCGGTCACTCGTTACTGAATTCCGCCCAATTACTACGGGTCTACTGTAATTAGTTGCAAACATCAAATTATATATATCTAGATCTATGTGTTAAAACAGTAACTCCCAGATTTTTTTTTTTACTGGTAACATGGTAACTTGTAAAATTAGTGACGAAATGGCCGTCAAAGTATGGAGACTATAGCTTGTAAAGGTTTGGTGTGTAGAAAACTGCAAATTTGCATTTTACACATGCCTTTATTCAAGGTTTTTCGGTAAAATAGTTCAGAAATATGTTTTAAATGGACATAAAATGTGTAATGTGCAAAGCAAAAGACAAGAAATAGATTGAAAATTGCCTAAATGCTTGGGAAAATGTGGGTTTCTTCGATTTCATTATTTTGACGAGCGCCTTTTTATCCCCACAATGTCACATGGCATGGTAATGCAATGGTGTACATTCTTGTTTGGTGCAAAATGTCTTCAAGTAAAATTGAAGTCTCAATTAGTACATCTTGTATTGGATGTATTTTTGTTCATTCCGCATTCGTTGTTGATCTTGGTGAAAGTTTCTGAATTTCAAATTATTCCTATATTGCTTTGGACTCCTTTACTCTGCACATTTTTATACACGTGCAAAATAGAGAAATAAGGTGTTTTTAGGGCCAGGAGAAGAGTACACGGGTTGTTGTTTTTTTCTCTAGGAGGGGGGGGGGGGATTTTTTACCATATATACTGACTTCATCTTCTCTTGCTGCTTCGTAATTTAGGACCATGCTAGAATCTCATTGTCAGTGTTTTCCATGAATGCTACATCATCTTTTCTATCAAATATCTATTGTCCTTATCTCTCCTCCTCCGCTTTTTTAAAATGTTACTCTTTTGTATTTTTTAATTGAAATTTATGAAAAATCCTTTATTTGCAGGAAGCAAAAGAATGGTTGAGTATCCCGAAGGGGGTGCGAACAGAAAAGCCTGTAAAGCATCCCATACTATTGAGGTGAGCATACATTGATCTTTCATACTCTTTAATGACATTGGAAGTTGTGTATCACTGAAGATCTTTTAAATTTAAAAATGTGTTTTTTATTAAAATTCAAATAAATTCTCAATAATTCTACTCGAGATCCTGTTTTTTAATGCTTTTGTTCATCCTATAAATTCATAATTGTAGCTTATTTGTCTACCAACTAGTGAGCACTGTAATGGTTATCTTACTTACTAGGCTGTGAAAATCAGTTAAATGTGTCTAAGATGGAATCACAATGGAGCGAGATAAAAATTCCATCTTAGAAATTTTCTGTCTTGGACAGAGGAATTTCGGGGGAGGGGGATTCCTAAGTCCCAGTCAATGAGGGATCAAAGGCCAAGCAGTGGTCAAAACTTCACGCCTCTCAAGTGCTATCCTAGCCTTGCTGATAATGGCATGAGTCAGCCTTACTTATCCATTGCCACCAGTGCTTGCATCTCATAGCTCTCCCCGTAGAATTATACAAATTTAGAAGGCCAAATTATGCACAAAAAAGCAAAATTATGCAAAAATTATGCAAGTTGCAGTAACACCATCCGCGACATGTTTTGCACTTTTTCAACATGAAGTTTCATATCTGGATCTAGATAATCTAGATTTAGATCTAGAGGAAAGAAAAATGTTTTAAAAAATTATTTTTTTAAAGGATATCAGAACCTCTGATGCTGGCACTTTACTAAAACCAGGGACACCTGCCAAACACGAATTTTGCATCAGCAGACATGAGAACAACAACTTTTGATGGATTGAAAAATTGAACATCTCAAGGAACAAAATCACAACCCATAACCAAGATCTTCTAACAAGGGAAATAACCAACTTTTCACTTAAATGAGACTTATTACGGTGATTACGTCCCTTTAATCACATGTCCAGGCGTTCATGAACTGTTTGGTGAAAAAACGGAAAAAAACGTGAAAAAACGTGAAAAAACGCGGATAATCCAAAATTATACAAATGTTGCAGAATTACGCGAAAAAGCCGCGGGCGCGATAATCCTGTGGGGACAGTCATAGGACCACTGACAGCATAGGACAGTCATAGGACAGCATAGGACAGCAACAATTGAGCATCTCCTTCATTTCCACCCTTAGCCCCTCCCGTTGGTGCACAGTCCACCAATACAGTACCACTCCTCCTGTGCATTTAACAACGATTTAAGGATCTTTTTTCGCTGCCAATAATTTCATACCACTAGCTACCTAGGAAAGCTCCCATGCTAGAGTGCCTAAGAGTACTTTCACAGGCAATTGAAAGATTTCACACCCACCCCACTCCAACCTGACCGTCTGCACCAACCATCAGCACTGCTCAGGGCTCACATGGATGGGGTAGCATCTACCCCCAAACCACACCGCCACCCCATCTTGTAGAAATTATAATTATATGGGAATTTGTCAAAAGGGGTCAAGGAAATTCTGTTGAGGGAAGTTTCCATCTTAGAGAGGTTTTCACGAAGGCAGGTTCAACTGCTTGTGACTTCAACTTAAAGCTGATTATAATAGTTATTGGAGGTTGTACTCAAATATTTCTTACTCCTCTTTTTTTGCTACATGTTTTTTAGAGCCACCATAATGTGAATAATCATCTTTTTATGCTTTTGTTTTCTACTGGTTTTTGTTTTTTCTTATAAGTAATTCAGTCTTTTTAAATTCCTTTTTTTCTTACAGAACATGATTCCTCAAGAGAGCCAGGCAAATAGTTGTCAGCTTGGCTCTGAGCAACTGATTTCCTTATTTGTAAAATACTATTACACTCTCCAAAGTGAAGAAAAAGAGATTCATTTTTCCACTGCTGAGTTTAACAAAACTGAAAAGAATAAAATGTCTAAGGAGCTAATGCTAAAAATTGTTTATAAATTGATTGAATCAGAGGAAGAAACAACAAATACAGTCTCAAGGCCCAGGCTACAAGATACAGAGCTCCAGATGAAGAGTCCAGATGTGCCAGCTGGAACGCATGACTCGGGTGAACTCCAACAAGTACCATCCCCTTACAAAGTCAACGCGGCCAAGCTTGCTGCCATTTTAGGGTCCATGGTGGATGAGAATTGTTTGCAAAGTAATGAAAAACTTTTGGAAGCTAAATCTGTGGAATCAAAAGAAGACCAGAATGATAGCAAAAGATGTCATGATATTGATACAATGTTTGGTATGAAATTTTTCAATGTGAAAGTGCCTCACGCTGTGGTTTATCATCAGCGGGTTGATGTACCAAGGAGCATTGGAGACATACCATGGGGGTCTCTGAAGGAAGAAAAATGCAGGCTTTACACTTTTAGCAAATATCCTTTGAATGCTTCTCAATCAGCCATTCTCTTGGCTAAAGATGGTTTTGCGTACTGTGGTAGTGGCGCCACATCAGATGACTCTGTGATTTGTTACTTCTGCTCTGCCAGTCACAAGGGCTGGCTCGTCACAGATAAGATCCATGATGTCCATGCCAGGTTGTCTCCTGATTGCCCAATGATCTCTCATGTAAACTGCAACAATGTCCCTATGCCGGTGCTTCAAAATGGACATGCTCTGTTTGACCAGTTGCAGAGCAAGGATGAAAAGTCTGTTTGTAGTGAGCCACCGAAAAGTTCTGGGAACACAGAAGAAATACAAACTGACTGTTCCCTAGAAGTAGATCAGCCGGAATCTGAGAGGCGCCATGTGCGTGGCAGCCATAGCCATGTAAGTCAGTATCAGAATACAGAGGCCCGTGCTCCAGCTCCAGTGCCTAAACCTACTCAAATAGCAACCAGATCTTTGATGAACCAAGGTCATTCGAAGAGCAATATGCCGGCTCAGTCATCTGGGAATAGAAGAGGGTCCAACACTGTAACTGCATATCAAGTTTCCAATGCCAATGCCAGCTTCAATGTGATTACTTCCAGCAATGTGGTATCAAGCTCTGGACCTGTCAGTTCTGTTGCAGCTGATGCTGAGTCTGGAGCCCAAGCAGCTTCCAGGTCTGAGACGAATGGGACACCTCAGACAACAACAGCAGGTGACTACACATCACAAGCAACTGCCGCGACTACAGCAACATCATCAGCTTCTCAAGGGGGGAGAACGGAGAACAGCTCTGGTTCATCTACATCACAGTCACCTGCTCCTGCAAGCTCCAGAACACCCAGCAGTCAACCGTCCTCAACACCCTCTGATACAACTGCTGGTGGAGAAGGACAGTCTACTACAACTGAGCAGCAGGGGCAAACTAGACCTTCAGCACCGCAGTCTAATGACTCCACTGGCAGTACTACCCAGCAGCAGGGAGCAGGCCCTTCCTACCAACAGTTAGGCATCATTACAGAGAGACCCAAGAGGTACGAGTATGCCCTCAAAGTAGCACGCTTGAGAAGTTTTGAGTCCTGGCCAAGGGGACATCACCTGACCAAAGAAGAGCTTGCCGATGCAGGATTTTACTTTGCAGGTAAATAAACTAAATGATGGAAAAAATTTACCATCCCTGCGTATTTGTTGTGGGCCTTGCGGCCTTTTTCTGGATTCGTTGTGTGCCACAAGATGACAGAATATCAAAATTAGAGGCCCTGATTTATGGCGGATATTATATTGACTTGACATGTGTAAGATTTTATTCCCCTGAGACGTGGTGCCAGTTTATGTGAATGACCTGAAAGTTTTATTTATAATTTCTTTAATTTTTCATTGCCTTCATTCTTTGTACATGATATCATCACTGTCAGGAGGAAAAGGAGGAGCTTTTCCCTGCCGTCAGTTAAAAAAAGATAAGATTTCTTCATATTTCTTGTAACAGCAATGATATGATGCTTCCTAAACAAAATCTGCTGGGTTTTTTTCTATTTTGAGTATCTAGTTATCTATGTCAAATACATTAAAAAGTATAGTTTTTTATAATTTTGGAAAAGACAAAAATAACATACCAGTTTTAACGTTAAATTCTTTTTTTCTCCTTTCAGGCTATGGTGATTGTGCAAGGTGTTATTACTGTGGTGGAGGTCTACGAAACTGGGAAGTGAATGATAACGTCTGGGTGGAACACGCGAGATGGTTTCCAAAATGTGCCTTTCTCAGACAGACGAAAGGTCAAGCTTTTATTGATGCTGTGAAAAGGCTGAGTGATGACAACATGGATGAGGTGAGAAAATTGAGGGATTTATTGAGTCAGCTGAATAATGATCTTCGTTTTTTTCCAAATTGCATAGAAGTAACGAGCCATGTTTTTTGTTTACTAGGGCTTGTCCCTGTTGCATTGGGAATCAAATAATCTCAGTTTGTGGATAAACAGTGTTTTCCACCGATTTTGTAGAAACAAATTAATCAATAGTGTGATTTCAGTTCTTAATGATAAAAATGTCAAGGGCACAGATGATATAATGAGGAGTCATGTATATCATTGTCGTGAAGACTTTAAGAAAAAGCCAAAGAACTTTCCATTGAATGTTCATTTTGTCAGGGTGCTGGTTGTTGAAAGAATGTTCTTCTCCTACACTCAATAATTGGTTCAAGCTCTTTGCATGAATGTGACAAAAAAAGCAGGGAGTGTGATAGAGTGGTTTTTATAATTCTCCACGAATCAGATGTATAGTACACAAAATTCATAATGTCACAGTCATAATGTGAATAATAAGTTGTTTCCTTTGAGAAGGGGTTGACCAAATATGTCCTTTGCATTCAAATTTTAATGCTCAGGTGTTATTTATTACCCTTGTGTCTTGCTGTTTCCGCACAGATTTCGTATCAGGATGTGATGAGAGAAATGGGTGGCACGGCAGCTGGTGAAGACCTCAGTAAGTTTTCTGTTTGTGCTTATTCTGTTTGACGATTCCGTTGTCCCCAGATTTTCAGTGCTGAAGAAACCATTTAAGTTATAGTTACAGCCATAATTGCTTAAGACAGCCACCCGTTATAGTGGAGAAAAGTGGAAAAGTGGCTGTCTCAGACAGGTAGCAGGACTGATCAAAATGAAAGAAACAAACCCTTCTCCTTCAGAATGTTGCAAGCTCTCTTAGTTGTCAGTAAAAGGAGCTTACCATATTTTATTAGCGGACAGATATCAGCATAGTCGTACATAAAATATCTGAATAAACCACACGATATATAACAACCTTGTGTATTGCAGTGACAAGAGAAGACCCCTTGAAGTGGGATGCTGCTGTGCTGGCTGTCACTGAGATGGGTTTCCAGAAAAGTGATGCCGAAAGTGCTGCAAAACATCTAAAAAATGAAGGTATGCTGGCTTTCCTTTTTTTCACTTCTTTCTTCCTTGTTTATGTCCCGGGTTAACACCCTGTTGGACTCAGAGTGTGTTATTTTGAATGTAAAGCTAGTGATTCTCACAACAGAGCTGAAGACGAGAAGGAAATTATCCCTCAAGGAGGAGAAAAGGGTAGACCCCAACCTACATTGGTTCTGTACAAATGCAGGGAAAACATGGTGCTGCACAGTAGCGACAGTAATTGCATTGTTGTGAAATTGTTCTGTATCGCTGTAATATTGTGTATTATGTATTTGTGTATGTATTTATAAGTACATATGTATGTATACATGTATATTTGCCATTATAAACGAAATTTCCCTCCTCGGATCAAGAAAAATGTAGTTTGTTTCTATTATTCTCAAATGTAACAATTTTCAGACCATTTTCTCATTCTATTATATTGTCCTGTTTGCGTAGATTTGGCATTTCCTGACTTGACAGGCATTTCCTGACTTGTTAACTCATTTCAGGTGAATCCCTGTCTGCGGACAAACTGTTTAAAAGGTTGGTGGAGACGAAGAAACCACGGAGTCAAACAGAGTTGGATCCTTGCGAAAGTGTCAGCAGTGAACATAGCGACAGTAAGGATAGGGGTGAGTTTATGAAAAGTTGCTGTGTTATAATTAAACAGTGCACCTAATCCAAATCTAGTTCAATCAGGGTTGTACCTGTGTTAGAAATATGCGAAGGAAATGTCACAGTGACTTTTCAGGTATTTGAGTGTATTTAGTATTTAGTCCTATACGTTCATTTTCAAGCTTGACATTTTAAGTATCGTGATTGCACTTGTAATGTAAATTTTGTATATTTTTTCAATTCAAATTATAATTGTTGTGTTACTTTTGTTATTTAAATCTACATATATCAAGACTTGTGTCTCTTCACGAGGAGAAATATGAGATATTGGACATTACTTCCTCCCTGGACTGAACATGACATGTCAAGTTTGTTAAAGCAGATTTATAAAATTTGTTTGAGTAGAATGTTATTTGTTTTGCTGGTTTTCCAAGTCCTATGGCACGGAAGGATAAGGTGGCTAATTTTTTTCAAATTGGTCGCTGTACATTTGTTAGCTGCACTTAGATAAATCATTCTTAATCTTTATAGCAAAGCGATGGGAGTGCAGAAAAAAATATTGTGCTGTATAATCTGTGTCCTGCAGTACGTTGCATTCCTTGAGGGCCATAATGATGATTTGTACTTGTGTGTCCCCAGAGACGATTAGCTCCCTGAAAGAACAAAACAGCCAGCTTCGCCAGCAAACTGTCTGCAAAATCTGTATGGACATGGAAGTTTCTGTCGTTTTCCTTCCCTGTGGACACTTGGTCAGCTGTTCTGAGTGTGCGTCAGCCTTGGAAAGTTGTCCTGTGTGCCGACAGAGTGTGCGAGGAATTGTTCGAGCTTTCATTGGTTGAAAGTTGTAAAGGTATTTTTCCAGCTGTTGTTGTTTCTGTATTTCTCTGTAGAACTAAGCTGCAATTATACAATTTTTCATGTCCCGTAGCGGTTGTTGTTTTTATACATAAAGAATCTAAGCTATTTTATGATTGATCTACTTTTCCCGTCGCACTCAATGGCAGTGACTTCTTTGTGATTTCAAAATAGTTGGGGCTGACAACATAAGAACTTAGAAGTGTAATCTTCAGTGTGTCAAGTCTGAAAGTTCTTTTCACACAAACAGCTCCTGTCTTTTTCCAGTATCGCAGCCTCACATTTTGCTGCCTCTGATGGAAATGTTATAAAAATGGTCATTTGATCACACACCTCTATAATTTGGGATTTTTGCTGATTCTGCCACCTCCTTCTGCATCGATTCTCTATAGCAATCATATCTTCAAAACAAGGCTTCCTTTTTTCCATTCTATTGTAAATTGCACAATTTGCAGTTTTGTATACTTTGAAAAACCAACATTTCTTAAAGGAATAAAATCACATAGCTTGCTGTTTCCTCCTGTTCTGTCATAGCCTTCTATGTTAAAAAATTCATGAATCAAGCATAAATTGTAACTTTTCACTATTTCACTATTACGATTTTCTTGTCAATGTTGTTACTACAAGCTGAAATATCACCCCCTGTAATTATGGGATTTTGTTTTTGCTCAAATACTCGTCTGTTTTATGTCGTTCAACTTTTAAGTGTAAGTGACAGTTGCAATGTTGCCCAGTGAGCTGCTATAGGCAAAAATCATTTGCTGTACAAGTAGAATATATCCCTAATTTTTTCTGTAAAATGTACTTGTGGGTACTGATAAGGTGCAAGAGAGTTGGGAGGTGTAACACTTTGCCGCTTCATCTCGCCGATCGGATATGTTTACCTCCCAATTTCTTTGGATTTTCCCCAAAATGTGATGGCAAAGTGTTAATTGATGGTCAAATGTGCTTGTACGACATCCATGATTGTTGTGATATTCTGTAAAACTATTTGAGAAACCTTTTTAATTCAGGCCAATTTGATCTGTCCACAGAAGCAAGGTGCAGTAGAGAGCTATGACTGCTGTGATGGGAAAACTGTTTGTTACCGTGATAGAAGGAGAATTTTTGGTTCAATTTGTAGAAGGAGAAAAAAACTCCAGGGAGAGAAGAAACTATTTTGTATTTGATCACAACAAAGTGTGCACACTAGGTTCCCCCTAAGGGAGTCGAGTTTTCATTTGATGAGTCTCAGGGTTTCCTGAATGATTACGTTTCTATTGAGATTGAATTACGCTACTTTGTGGGTGGTTTAACTCATTCGCTACAGATTCTTCTCCAGTCCACATATTAGACAATTTAAGCAATTCTGAATAATTCCATATAAGATACCAGTGGGGGTTTTTTCTGTTTGTGATCCTTTTTCAAGATTATAAAAAAAAATGTTTTTCAATATATCGGATGTTATAATCCAAATGTACAAATAATATATGGAATGTAGGTAAATAACTGCAAATTTTTCAATATTTTTCAGTTCTATATTTATTTATGGTTATTTTGATGTATCATTCGACCAGGTGCAAACATATTTTTTGAGTTTCACCAAAGATTATGAAGTTTTTATTTTCAAATTTTATCCGCATCCAATCAAAATTGTGTTGCATAATCGCCTCTTACAGGAACAAAAGTTGAAAAGTACATAAATAAACATTACAGATGTATTCTACAATCCTTAGTGAAAATATTGGTATATAATTATAATACATTGATATTTATTTAAATTTGTGGCCCCAAAGACCTATTAACTGTTCTCGTTCGCCCTCCCTAAAAAAATGTTGTCCACAAGCCGTAAATAATACGTAGCGAATGAGTTAATATGCTTTGTTCCCTGTGAAATTTACTAAAAAGTGGGATAGAGGTGACCATAGTATGTAGTGCAATATGTTTAAAACGTTTGGGTGGCTTTGACTTCAGTTTTTCAACATAAAAAATTGTTTTAAAATATGTTCATTTCATATTTTTTTTTTTCCCATTTCATTATAATTATGATTTGTTAGTAGCTTAAGGGGGAGACGATCCCGTAAAAATGTTCTAACAAAAGACTTCCATTCTCTTTCATGTATTTGTGCAAGTAGTTCATGGTAAAATGGATGTATTGACTCACTAGGCTTGAGCCTAGTCCCGTGTATTTACGGTGTTTTTGAAAATCTAATCGCAACAAAATGTGCACAGTAGATCTTCCTAAGGGAATTTTAAATTGATAAGTGACAGAGTAGGCCTAGTTACTTTCAGTT